GGCATGGTGGCGCATGCCTGTAGTCCCAGCTATTTGGGAGGCTGAGGCAGAAGGATTGCTTGAGCCCAGGAGTTTGAGGTTGCTGTGAGCTAGGCTGACACCACGGCACTCTAGCCCAGGCGACAGAGTGTGACTCTGTCTCAAAAAAAAAAAAGTACCCAAACTTTGTTTCATGCAAAAAGCTGTTAGAAATATTGTATAAAATTACCTTTAGGCTATGTGTATAATGTGATTGTGAAACAAATGAATTTCATGTTTAGACTTGGATCCCATCCCCAAGAAATCTCACATATATGCAAATATTCCAAAATCCAAAAAAATGTGAAACTTGAAACACTTCTGGTCCCAAGTATTTCAGGTAAAGGATACTCAACCTATACTTTGAATATCTCACACAATGGAAGTTTACTTATGTTGATTTTTTAAAATCAGCCATCCTCAAAATTGAGCACCTTCCATTCGATTCGACAGGGGTGAGCTGTGTGGTATATTGCCGTGAGCACTTCTGGTACCTGATTTTCCTTCACTGTTTGCTGTTTTAGATAAACCATATGGCATGTTTGATGAAAGGGTCGATTTTAAAGGAGGTCGTCCCCGCTTTGACTTCTGCCTCTCTTCATCCCTCTTTTCGTCCTTTTCACTATCTTCTTTATTCTGCGTAACAACAACAAAAGGTATGAGAGGGGCTAATGCCTTACGAAAAAATGAACATTTTACTTCTCCAAGAAAAACTACAACTCAAAAAAGGTTAGATATTTTATAAGTCAACTCCTAATCTGTACTTATAGAAAAATCAAAAACAGGTTTTTAAAAACGTATTTTGTATTTATATGAATATGTTGTTCTGTAATGTGTAACACTAGAAGTATACTGTGATGGTCAGAATCAGTGCATCAGAAAGCTGTACAACTGTTCAGTACTCCTCCACCCCCTAGTTCCTTACTAGCCCCCAATGAAAAGAAAGATATCTACCATCCAATAGACAAAACGTTAGGCAAAATTGAGGGTGTGGGTGAGGGTACAACTAGCCAGTAGATTATGTGTTTTAAAATTTTAGTATCAGCTTCCAGTATTTAAAAATCATATTTCACATATTAAAAAATATAGTGGTCTTGAAAAATCCTAAAATCTGGCAACCCTGGGTCAGCATTCCCAACAGCAGACTGCTTAGTTCCACCCTTTCTACATAAAGGATGTGTCCTCTTGTTTGTCACTATCAGTCCTACTTTACCCTTTTCCTATAAAGCTTCTGTAGGCATTTGAGTTTGAAACCATGCCCTAGGGGGTTACTGGTTTTCACTTTTCCTGAAACAATGTGATGTGTTTTAAATTTTTACTTTTTTAGCTCCTGGGTTGTAAGAGAGAAAATCACAATTATCTTTAAAGAATCAAAATGATTGTTACAATGAGAAGAGAAGATTTATTAAAAACAATATTTTAAATGCATATAACTAAGCGAAAGAAGCCAATCTGAAAAGACCACATAATGAATGATTTCCAGCTGTATGATATTCTGGAAAAGGCAAAATTATGGAGACAGTAAAAAGATCAATGGTTGCCAGGGGTGAGGGTGGGGAGTAAGAATTAGCAGAACACAAAGGATTTTTAGGGCAGTGAAACTACTCTGTCTGATACTATAATAGTAGATCCATGTCATTTTACATCTGTCCAAACCCACAGAATGTATAACATACGAAGAGTGAACTCTAATGCAAATTATGGACTCTGGGTAATAATGATGTATCAATGTAGGCACATCGATTGTAACAAAGCTGGTGGGGGATGTTGACAACTGGGGAAGGCTATTCATGTATGGGGCAAAGGGTAAATGGAAAATCTGTATATCTTCCTCTCAATTTTGCTGTGAACCTAGAACTGCTCTGAAAAAAACATGTCTTAGAAAACACACACAACGAAAAATTTGAATAATTCCTGTACCTATTATAAAGGATATGAATCTATGAACATACTTTAGCTCTTTTCTTCTGTTTTTTCTTTGGTCCACCTTTGTCCAAAGGCCAGATTATCCTGTCAGCTTTCACCCATTCATCATACCTTAAAATAAAGAATACATAAAAATTTCACAATGGTACCCTATTTGAAATGTATTTACTGAACAAAAACAATAGTGAGATAGACTAAAGAGTGTTTTCTAGTGTTAGCAGAAATGTGAAGGGCACAAGGGCACGTTTCCTGGTAACATGTGCCAGCAAGTGCACTAGGTGCTTTGTTACCACCAACAGGGAAAGGCAGGAGAATTTTTTAGAGTTAACAGGTTTAGAGAGAGGTCTGGGTAAACAATTCTAAAAAGATACAAGGCTACATAAACTGCTTTGTTTTCCACAACTCCCAAAGATCTGAGCTTACAAGGAGATTCTGCACTAGAATTCATCCTATTAAATGAATAGTACACAAGTCAGGTAAATTCAAATTTGTAATATGATAAGTTCCAGATTATTTTATCAAGCCCATTTCAACTTTCTTTTCTTCCCCAGAATTTTCTTTAGCTTCTAGTATTTCTAATAAAATTTTTTTTCTGAACTGGTTACCTTTAAGACTCTGAAATTTTTTAGAGATATTTTTATTTCACTTCTTTTATCTACATGTATTCTGTTTAGCTCAAGTTGAAAATTCTTCATTTCCCCTGTACCTTTTCCCAAAAGATTGACATTACTATTGAATTTCAATATAGTCCAAGTTACATATCAGGGCAAATAAGAAATTAAGCTTTCTAGAACTAAATAACAGTTCTTACATTTTATAAATATATAGGTATTTACAGAATTCAATCAAAATCTAAAATCTGAACATTTAAGTAAAAAAATTACAGAAGTCCTTGCTTTAGACTGTACCATTTTAATGGAAACTCATGTATATGGAAACCACACCCTCACTTTGTAAACCATTTACTGTGGAGATGTGCAAAATAAAGACATGGTTCCAATATGCACAAGTTTCAGCTGATGTGGTACCATGACTACTTATACAGATGCTCCTTGACTTATGATGAACTTATGTCCCGATAAGCCCATCATAAATTGAAAATATAGTAAGTCAAAAATGCATTTAACACATTAACTGCCATGTGAGTTGTATTTAACTCACGCTAGTTTTGAGCCTGGGGCCTCATGAAGCACAGCCTAAGCAAAATTCTGCAGGTGGTTCTCGAAAATCTTACTTGTTGATGTTCTTATTGTTACAGTTAATATTGACAAATTAATTCTAAAAACGTGGATTAAATGAATAGAAGTCAATAAATTTTGTTTTGAATTAAATTAGAAAGGATCATTTTGTTTTCGAAGTTTTTATTCTATTTTCATAATAAACCACTGTGGCCTCAAGGGAAAAAATTTTTTTTCTAGTGTGGCAGTCAATTTTTTAATATATCTAACCTACCAAACATCATAGTTTAGCCAAGGTACCTTAAATGTGCTCAGAACACTTATATTAGCCTACAGTTGGGCAAAATGATCTAACACAAAGCCTATTTTATAATAAAGTGTTAAATATCTCATGTAATTTATTGAATACACTGTAGAGTACAGTATAAGTTGTTTACCCTCAAGATCTCATGACTGACTGGGACCTGTGGCTTGCTGCCACTGCCCAGCCTCACAAGACAATATCATACTACGTATCCTGCTTATCATAGCCTGGGGTCAAAATTCAAACTTCTAAGTACAGTTTCTACTAAATGTGTATCGCTTTTGCACATCAAAAAATCGTTAAGTTTAACTACCATAAGTCAGAGATTGTCTGTACTATGGTGTGGAAACTATCTCACACTGGATTAAAGCTTCTGAAATAGCACTAGCTATGAGCATTGTACCAGGCTTTTATGTATCTGTATTTTATTACCTTATTGAGAAATATTCATTCATTTAGACATTTACTAAGGGCCCAGGCACTATATCAGGAAGCATGTAGAGAATAATAGAGAAAACAAGGCCCTTGCTCCCATGCTACTGAGAATCGAGTACGAAAGATAGACATATAGTAAAAGTAAGTACAGTCTGGTAAGTGCAATTAAGATAGTTATGTATCTGATCCAGGATTAACAAAGGAATAACTATCCAATTCCAAAATTCCACAGGAGATACCAAGAAGTACAGGCCTGATTTGGAGTATACTTGGTCCAGGCCACACAGTCCTGGTCACAACAGTATGTCATGTTGGTACTTCTAGCACTAATACTGCCAGCCAAGGCTGGTCCCAGGATTTCTCAACTGGAGACCAGGACTCCGCTCACACTTGCAGATGCTCCCATTTTATAATAGAAATCTAAAAAAATTCTCTAGGAATTATAGTGACTCTATCTCAATGAACAGGCCAGAATTATACCAGCTTTTAGAGGTATGGAAGGATAATAGAAAACCACGAACCATGTGAGTAACCAGTTAGGTAACTAATTAGGAAGATAACCAGTTAAGAACCTGAGGGCCTGGCATGATGGCTCACGCCTATAATCCTGGCACTTTGGGAGGCTGAGGCGGGAGGATCACTTGAGGACAGGAGCTCAAGACCAGCATGAGTGAGCAACATAGCAAGACCCCGATCTCTACAAAAAAACAGAAAAATTAGCCGGGCCCGGTGGTGCAAGCCTGTAGCCCCAGCTACTCGGGAGGCTGAAGCGGGAGGACTGCTTGAGCCCAGGAACTGGAGGTTGCAGTGAACTATGATGATGCCACTGCACTCTAGCCTGGGGAATAGAACAAGAGCCTATCTCAAAAAGAAAAAAATAATAATAATAATGATAATAATAAAATGAATATTGAGAAGAATCATAAAGTAAAACATTAAAAGGATGAGAAAGAAACACGACAGGAAGGAGAAATTCTAGAAAGCAGAACAGAGACATATATAGATGATAAGTAAGAATGAATGGTTGTGAAATGAATAGAATCTGAGGAAAAAAGAAGGCTATCAAGTGCTGCAACTACAAATATAGTTGACTCAAAGTTGGTAAACAAAGTTCTTTCCCCCTGAATTCAACAATATGTTGTAAAGAGAAAAGAAGAGTTAACATTCATGGAATATTAAGTGCCAGGCATTGTTCTAAGCACTTTACATGTTAATACAGGTATTATCACTACAGTAGTCCCCACTTAGCCACAGCATGGTTTCAGTTACCCACAATCCAAAAATATTAAGATATTTTGAGAGAGAAAAAGACTGTACTCAAATAACTTTTATTATAGTATAGTATTCTATCTTATTATTAGTCATTGTTGTTAATACCTTACTCTGCCTAATTTATATTTATCATAGGTATGTATGTAGAGGAAAAACACACTATATATAGGGTTTGGTACTGTCTATAGTTTCGGGCATCCATAGGGGGTCTTGGAATGTATTTCTCACAGATGAGGGGGGACTACTGTATTTTACATCTCTATAAAATAGGTATTTTGTTTTCCCTCGTTTAAAGATGAGGGAATTGAGTTACGACAGAGTACAAAGCTAGTATGTACAAAAACCCAGGAGCAATCTAGCTCCCAATAAATACAGGGCAATCAGAGACATTAAACATAAAAGACTTTCTCAAGAAAAAAAAGGCATCCCCAAACATTCAGGAATTGGCCTGGAACCATCAGCTGGTGTTAATCTGAGCTGCTCTGGCACTCACAACTAGACCATGTTGTCCTGTTGAATGTGAACAATTTCACAGAACAGTAACATCAGACAAGTCTATTCTGTGACTGTGATGGATCAAAACAAACAAAAGACCACTCCCTAATCATGTCTGAACACAGAAAAAACAGGAACATTGTCCAAGCCACAAAAATGACCAAACATCCTAATTTCCCCGATATGAGCATCTGCTATTTTTTGGGGTTTTTTTGACCAATTATATAGTGTTAACTTTGGTCTAATCTTTTCTCCTTTTATAATTTTTACATCCATGTTTATGAGAAATATTGGTCTGTAGTTTTCTTATTGAAAAAAAAAGAAAAGAAAAGAAAACCAATCATAGAATTACCCCAGCTTCCTGATAACATCCAATATAGAGCAAAGTCCTACTTCCTTATACCTTCCCCAAAATCAAACACAAGCTCAAATTTTTCTTTTTTATTAACCAACTTAGAATTATTATAATACTTGTCATAGGCTTAATTTCTGATTAATGAAACAAATAAACAAACGTTTGCCCAGTTGGAAGCTGCAGGCCTGGTTCCCTGTCCATGTTCTGCAATGTTTCCACAGAATCCTGAGCTAGTGTTCCCAAAGGTGGTGCCCTGAGCTTTCATGGATCCCTCTAACACCATCCTGTTACTGAGGTGCCCTATGGTTCCCCATGCTGTGGATTCTCCTTTTTTGTAAATGAGTAACAAACTTAATTTGTTCAAACTATAGGTGTGGTCCTGGTAGTCTCTGACTGGAGGCATTGACATAACTAGTGAGACGGTGGGAATGTCAAAGTCTTAGAAAATTCAGAATCAAAGTATACTTTGTAAACCTATACCATTATTTGCTTTAGTTCTTCACAACATTGATCTTTCTTAGCCACTGAAAAAATTTCAATAGTAAGAAAATATTTTCTTGCTTACCTGACATTCCATCCATAGTAATGTACCAAGTACAAAACTTCTCCATCATCAATTTCAGTGCTTTTAATACTAGCTTCATAAATTTTCTGTGTTTTCCCTCGTCCATATTTTACTTTCACTTTGGTTCCTGTTAGGCAGGGTTCCATGTCTTCCTCATCTTCCTCCCCTTCAGAGTCACATTTGCTTTCAGTTTCTTCCCTGTAGTAAGTTATAACATTGATAATGCTACTAATAACTTAATGGAGAACAAAATAATATATGCTAAAAGAATCCAAGGTGTCACTAGAATATTCACAACCTAAATATTACCTTAATAACATGTCAGTGGAGGAGGAGAAGAAGGAGGAGAAGGAGAAGATCTTTTATGGCCTACTTACTAAGGAATTTATTATGTAAAGGTGCACTGTACCAAAAGTAAATCCATACTCCTTAAAGGCCAATCAATAATCACAGTTAATGATAATGCAGAATCAAATAAATCATTTTGATAAAACAAAATAAGAGAAATATGGTCTGAAAAAGTCTTTAAGATTCATATTTAAGTGTCACCTTCTAAGTGAAAATGATCTAAGCCTATTTTGTAACTTCCTACAACTGAATTATCAATAAATCTACATTACTACTACTTTCTGCTCAATTCACATTAGTAGCAAGACTAGTTTTTTGTGGTGGGTAAGATAATGAACAAGGACTATTTACCTTAGTAACCATGTCGTTTTTTTTGAAACAGGGTCTCACTCCGACACCTGGGCTACAGTGCAGTGGCAACATCATAGCTCATTGCAACCTCTAACTCCTGGGCTCAAGTGACCCTCTTGCCTCAACCTCCCCAGTAGCTAGGACTACAGGCATGCGCCACCACGCCTGGCTAATTTTTCTGTTTTTTGTAGAGATGGAGTTTCACTCTTGCTCAGGCTGGTCTCGAACTCCTGACCTCAAGAGATCCTCCCACCTTGGCCTCCCAAAATGCTAGGATTATAGGTGTGAGCCACTGTGCCTGGCCAGTAACCATGTCTTCTAAACTAGTTTGTATTTTTGAGGTTTCCCAGCCCTAACAAAGAAACAATAGATATCTGAATATTAGGTCACTTGTTGACACTGCCGGATAGCCCCAGGAGAACAAAGCTTTGCATATTTGGTTGATTTCTGTTTACTCATTTCCCATTAGCTTTTCTTTCTATTGATAGTAAGGTATAAAAGAGATTCACTCAGGGAGGTCCAACAATATTATTAATATTTTATGATACAACATTCTGTATTAACCCTGCAAGATTCAGAAGAGAATTACGTCAAAGATCATTCTAATATCACATGAGTTTTAAAAGCTTAAGAGGAGGTATTGTGCTTTCTAACACATATAGGGCATTATTTTGGTGGCCACTAGGGCACCTAACATAAAGCAGGTTTGACACCCCATTTGCAGCGGGAATGTTTTCTGTCCTATGATACGTTCCAATAATATAGACTGATGAGGCAATATCAAAACACTATGAGAAAAACTACTTAAAACAAATCTCTATAGACAAAAAGTCTCCCCATTTCCATGATTCCTGCTATAAAATGAGAACACAGACTTGTTTAATGTCTGTATATTCAGTTTTTATTTAATAAAAGAGAATACTGTTCTTCATATTCATGTCTATGAAAGTTTCTCTAAAATATATCTTTGTCCATTTACATATCAATTATGAAATCTTTTTAAATCACATATTATTTACATACTTAGATGCATGTATATGTAAAAAGCTAGCAAGACTAGTTTTTTTGGTGGGCAAGATAATGAACAAGGGCTATTTACCTTAGTAACCATGTTTTTTTTTTTGAGATAGGGTCTCACTCTGTCACCCGGGGAACATATATATTTTGATGCTTATTTTTCATAAAATTTCAGTGTATAATTAGGTCCTACTTTTTAAGTGGCTCACCTTTGCTTAAATTTTTTGTCCAAATACTTAAAATACTGTACTTGTATCATTACGCTCAACTCCAATTATTTCCTCCCACTTTTCCTAATCCTAAATATATTTCATTACAGAACTTTCTTTTATTCATGTAACCTTGTTCACATGTAATTATGATAGCTCCTGTACCTATCTGTATTGAATCAATTTACCTGTTCCATTCTCCTATTTTTCCAAATATTTATTCTCTCAGTAGCAGGCTATTTTTCCCAAATTTGGCTTAACAACTCAAATTTCTAGAAAATTCAGCATCACATAATATAATAATTGAAAAATAACTACTATGGGGGAAAGCTTATATTACAAGTAAGTGTGTTATACTGTAGTTGCTCATTTAAAAATCATATTTAAGTAGAATTTAAAAATTAGTAAATCTGACAACACTTACAGAAATGGTCAATGACATAACATGGTCGGACATTACCTTGATCTAGCTGTACTGCCTAATCTTTAGCTATTTTTAAGTCAATTCAGTCTATACATGTCTAATACATGGAAAAAAAATACAGTTTTTCACTCAACAGCAAACAAGATGGACATTTAAAAAACTGAAATTTATTGGTGTGATGTGGGGCAAGAAGGTATTTTCCAAACTAGAATCAGGGGTGCATGCCACTTATTCTAATACAATAGCTTGAAAAAGAAAAATGTCTTTAAGCTAACACACAGAAACATCTGCTAGTACTGTGCACCCATGTGTTTGTTAGCTTTCCCACATTGTACCTTTTTTAAAATGGAATTTTTGCTGTCGCTGTTTCCTCTTGTCCACTTCCTCCATTTTTCTCCAGCTCCCTTCCCTGCTGTCAACTGCAGGACCTTTCTTTTGACTGGGTGGCGCAGCCTTCTTTGAGGCCACTGTTTAGGGCACAAGTGCTATTAAAATGGTGCGACCAGTATATTCTCCAATTCCGAAAGGCGATACACATCATCTTCACAATGTGTCTCACCTTCATTAGACAAGAGGAACGGAAGTCCCAATAAGAAAACATTCCCTCAAACCTGAATCTCTAAGCAAGAGCAAAGCGCTGTTGTACCCCAGACAGGTGCTTCTGGAGAACAAACATAAGATAATGTACCTCTCTTGGTTTTTCTCTTCCTCTTCATCTGAGTCTTTGTCAGAATCCTCCTGCTTTTTAATTTTCTTCTCTTTTTGCTTTGGTGTATTTTTTTTCCCCAGTAGTAGCTCATTTTCTTTTTTCTCTGCAGTTTCGTAGTCATCATCTACATCCTTATTTTCTGTATCATTATCTTTTAATTTGTCTTCTATTTTCTCTTCCTCAATTTCCTTTTTAATAGAATTTGCATCTCGAGCAATTCTCCTTCGTCCCTAGTGGAGGGTATGAAAGCTTTAAAACAGCTATCACTACATAAAGGGGAAAAAGCAGGAAAAGATATCTTTTCCCTAACCTTCATAGAAATGACTAGTCGCTCTATGGCTTGAGACATGACCCTGAAAACCAACTTACAGGTATTTTTCCTATTGAAAGTAAAAGAATAACCAATATAAATTACTTGATTATATCTAGGCCTACTATGATCTTTAGCTATACACTACATAAGAAATAAAAATTTCTCCTTTGTTCACTACATTACCTTATCTCAATTTTAATATTCCTTGACTACAATAAAATTTTTAAATAAATTATCTAAATGTAAATGATAAAAGTTAACAATAATACATAAATCCCCTAAATTATAGACTCTTTAATAGCTCTGTAGTCTCTAATTCTACTGTTTACTAAGCCAAAATTTACATTATCACTGTATTTATTTGTGACTACATTTTAAAAGGCCTGAATTGGATCAATGGCAAAAAGTGAGCAGATTTCTTTGAATAAGTATCTGGAGAGCTCACTGGGCCAGCAGTAACTTCTTTTACCTCCAGCAGCTTCTACCTAGCCTCTTGCATGCTCAGCTGACCATGAAACTGGTGAGCCATTTCACTATCTCCTAGATTCTCCTTCAAGTCAACCTCTATACACTGGCAGAATTCCCCCTCTTCTTGGAATAAAGCAAGGATAAAAAAGAGCCAACAACTTAGGGAGCAATAGAATACAATTAATAGCTCAGTAAACCAAAATTTTCCCTTGTTACTATGTGCACTAATTTACTTCTGTCACAAAGCACTAGAATGCAAGTTCCATGACAGCAGGGACTTTGTATTATTCATTTCTGTATCCTTAGATTTAGAAAGTGCCTGGCACATAGCAGGTGTTCTTTAAATATCTGTAGGTAAATGAATGAAAATAACTATTATCTATAAAAATTTAGATCTGTATGCCTTTGTTCCAGAAATTCCACTTTTAGAAGTCTGGTTTATATATTCAGATAAATAAGGAGGATATTTTTACAAGCATATGTATTGTTGTTTACAATAGTAAACTGGAGAAAATCTTGGGGAAGGTAAATGTATGGTTCATCCAGTATGCTTCATCCATACTATACAGTACACTACTCTACATAGGACAGGAAGGTCTTTAGGTAATGACAAGAAAGTGGGTCCACAATACATACAATGGAATATTATTCACCTTTAAAAAGGAAGGAAATTCTGACAGATGCTACAACATGGATGAACCTTGAAGACATTATGCTTAGTGAAATAAGTTTGTCACAGAGGACAAATACTATATGATTCCACCTCTACGAGGTATCTAGAATATCAGGTTCATAGATACAGAAAGTAGAATGGTGGTTGCTAAGGGTTAGAGGAGGGAGGAATGAGAGTTACTATTTAATAGATACAGAAATTCAGTTTTAAAAGGTACAAAAATTCTGCAGCTGGATGGTGGTGACAGTTAGCAACAATGTGATTGTACTTAATGCCAATGAACTGTATACTTAAAATTACTTAAGATGGAGGCCAGGAGTGGTGGCTCATGCCTGTAATCCCAGCACTTTTGGGAATCCAAGGCAGGAGGATTGCTTGAGGCCGGGAGTTTGAGACCAGCCTGGGCAACATAGGAAGACCCTATTTCTTAAAAAAAAAAAAAAATTTAGCTGGGTATAGTGGAACACACCTGTAGTCCCAGCTACTCAAAAGGCCAAGGAGTTGAGCCTAGGAGTTTGAGGCTATAGAGGACTATGATCCTGCCACTGCACTCCAGCCTGGGTAATAGAGTATGACCCTATCTCTAAGAAAAAAAAAAGTTAAGATGGTAAATTTCACGTTATGTGTATTTTACCACAATTTAAAAAATAAAATTAAAAAAAGAAACGAAAAAAACAATTTGGATATTTCATGACATTCACTAGAAGATTCCATTTACTAGATAATACTTAGAATTAATAGTTTAAAAAAATGGTTTCTGAACTAAAAGAGAAAAGTAATTTCACCTTCTCTTTCACTAAATATGATTTCACTGAAAGAATAAGACATACAATAGTAATTAAACTTCTTTGATAGTGTGGTAAATTTCTTTCTCCTCCTGAAATTTGATAAATCCCAGTATGTAGACATCACTGGACACTGATCAGAATGACAGATGACAATTCCCTATATATTAATGGAGAGGAAGAGTAGAATTGGAAGATAAAACCAGTGTACAAATGACTAGAGCTGTAAAGTGTGTTATAAAGTTATAGAGAAAGACAAGATACCATCTGGCTGAGGGCACAGATATTATAAAGAGGAGATTTACTCATTCAAGACCTACTTAATAAGCCTTTACTATGTGCCACACACTAACCCAGATGCCTGAGAGCCATCAATGAACCAAAAAAACATTAATTCCTACTCTCGTGGAATGTGATCCTAGCGTAGAGTGGGACAAAATAGACAATAAATGATAAATACATAATTATGGATAACGGCAACATGAGAGGGATTGAGGATGCCAAAGAGAAGAGGTAGGTTATAATTTTAGATAAGGTGACGAGCATAGGCTTCAATGAGGTGACACTTCAGCAAGATTTGAAGGAAGGGAATATATGAGACTGAACTCAGATTAGAACAACTTGATCAAACATAACTACAAAAGAGGAGGAAAAGTTTTCAGGTAGAAGAAATAATGTACAAAATATTTTTAAAAAGTAGCTAGCTAGTCTAGCTAAAGTAAAATTAAATACTGGAAAAATAAACTAGGTTTACTGTAGTAATTTTGTGTATATCTGAAAATGTCTATAATAAAAAATTTAAATAACGCTTAAAATAAACCAGGTAAAACTAGTATTAAGTACTCACCCTCGGAGATTTTAATTCTATCTCTTCTCTTTCACTTTCACTGTTTGAATCAATATTTTCCTCAGGTTCGCTCTTAACTTCTATTAAAGGCATTTCTTGATCTGCTTTTAGGGCCTCTTCCATTGATTCTTCTAAGTCTTTTTTTTCCTCTTTTACTTTTGGTTCATGGTGGTGAATAGTTCTGAATTGAATATTTGCAGAACGGCAATACTCTTCAAAACCATAAAGATACCTAAACAAATAATATTTAAGAAATCTTATAGTCTTTACATTTAACTTGAATTAAATTATGTTATATTAAACATATTCTTTTTAAAGGTAAAAGTCATTTTTTAAAATTTTTTTTTTTTTTTGAGATAGTCTGCTCTGTTGCCAGGACTAGAGTACAGCAGCGTCATCACAACTCACTGCAACCTCCAACTCCAGGACTCAAGTGATCCTCCTCTTTCAGCCTACTGAGAAGCTGGGACTACAGGTGTGCACCACCATACCCAGCTAATTTTTCTGTTTTTTCTAGAAGCAGGGTCTCACTATGTTGCTCAGGCTGGTTTCGAACTCCAGGCCTCAAGTGATCCTCCAGCTTTGGCCTCCCAAAGTGCTAGGATTATAGGTGTGAGCCACTGCGCCCAGCCAAAGTACTTTTTCTATGTTACCTATTTCTTGGTGTTTTAGACAGGATTATAAACAGAAATACTGATCATGAAATAAAACGCCTTTCGGAGAAATCTGAGGTTGTGATAACTGAATATAGCTATTGTAGTTTTGACACAAAGTTGTCTACCCCAAAAGATAAAGTTCTATAACATGTATGATAATTTCAGACTATATATACTACTTGCATCCCTGATTTTGGAAAGGAAATCAGGACAACAACTGAAATGAAGTAAAGCAAATTTCATGTACTTGAAAATACTTTCAATACTTGTGATTGAAAATACTTTCAATCACAAGTACTTATTAACCTAAACTTTATACACTTTCCCTAACTTTGATGTTCGTTTGATTCACTCTTGTTTAACTGTTAACAAATTAAATGGAAAATATTTCCTCTAAATACAAATTCTTTGATGAATAAACTATACTACTTACTTTCTATAAGCAGTTTTTACATTGTAGGAAGCAGCTGAATTCAAAATAGGAATGCCAAGGTCCATATAAATTTGCTTCCATACAGCACCACTATCAATCTGGAAAATTAAGTTTTTGTGTTAACATTTGCAAAGGGAAATAATTTTACACTAATACTCTATGTTCATTAAGAAAATGTGCTTATTACCTGAAGTGCATATAATAATGCAATATTAGATGATTTAACTTTTCATCACATCACTACATATTTCAAAGAGCAATGTTACACTTACATTGTCACATCCACCCTGATGATAAACCAGTCTGAAGAGTTTGAAGAGATTGAGATCTTTATAGCCCAAAACAGGTGGTTTGTTGATTGGAGTGCCTTTATAATATAAGAGCATAGTAAAAGGTTTATTCAGCTGAAAAATACTAATCTGAAAACAAAGTTATCAATTTCTAATTTCCCAAATTTCATTAGAGGCACACACTTAAAGAATCTAAGTTATGTAAGACAACACAAAATATTCTCTATATTCCATATACAGCTTTGTGGAAGTCTTTAGATTCTAGGAGTTGTACTTTTATAGCTAATAAAGTCACCTCTCTACCTGCCAATGAATTGGGTAAAACTAAATTAAACTTTGGGACTACAAGGTGTGGCCAACAATGCTGCTGGTTCAAGAAGCTTGGGCTTGAACAAACACAACGGAAAGGGGAAGTTTTAGGCTGTGTTTCCATTTTCACTGCTTTAACGCATATTGTTAAGACTGTCAGCAATAATCTGAAGGATGATTTCTGAAGGCCAAAGAATGTCTAGAACCAATTTATCTGAGGATTTTCTAGGAATAATGAATGTCCAGCAGTATGATAATTTATAATGGTTCTATTTCTTGTACCTGTACCATTGCAAATGGGGATTGATCTCCTATTATGTTTAATTGTTGAGAACAAGGATTGGGCTATATTTACTTGCTATAAATATGGCATTAGTAATTAATGGTATGCAGACTATTTCTACTCAAAATAGATATTAATAGTTTGTTTTTATTCCAAATACTTTAACTATCATCAGGTGTAACTGATTCTTAGGCTTTAATTAAAATCCCAAACTATGTACACCATGATATTAACAAAAACAACACATATACCTTGAATGTAAACTTTAAAAGAAATGACTACTTTTAAATAATGAGCATGAAAATACCTCTGTCTTCCATAAACTTATAAAGCTGTTGGAGGAAGTTGTCCCTCTCTTCAGGATCAAGTTCTTCCTCAGGCTGTAAAGGGAAAATATATAAATGTATATAGCACAGTTCACAGGAAGAGATACATGACTTCCTTTATTTTTTGTTTTTGTGAACTCAATGTAAGGTGATAAAATTTTAATAAGCTGGAAAATTTGAATTTTCTCAAAATCCTACAATGCCAGATGTTAAGTCATATTTTGGTACAGCTGATTTAATGCAACTATGAAGATATATAACGTCTACTTTTGCCCCATTTACCACTCTAAACCTACCCTTGAGTACCACCATAAGGACTAAAATTAGCCATGAGGAAAAGATTGAGGAAAGGAGTGGGAATGTTAAGTTTTTACCTCATTTGGAATTTTTAAAAAAAACCCATCAAAAAATTATGTGGCCAGCCCAGGCAAGGAGGGTCACACCTATAATCTTAGCACTCAGGGAGGTCGAAGGAGGAGGATTGCCTGAGTTCAGGAGTTTGAGACTAGCCCAAGCAAGAGGGAGACCTGGTCTCTACTAAACATAGAAAAATTATAATAGCTGGGCGTTATGGTGTGCACCTGTAGTATCAGCTACTTGGGAGGCTGAGGTAGGAGGATTGCTTAAGCCCAGGAGTTTGAGGTTGCAGGGAGCTACGATGACACCACTGCACTCTACCTGGGGCAACAGAATGAGACTCTGTCAAAAACAAAAACAACTCAAAAAACTATATGGCCTATACAAATATATTGGTAGATGAACACAATAATGGCATGTGTTTATTATATAAAAATAATTCACATACAAACATTAAGGTTTTTGTTATTGTTGAATGAATATAAACCAGGAATTGCAAAGTCACAGTGGCAAAGATTTTTTGTTTAGATAGTACAATGTTTTAAAGAAATTTAAAGGTATTTAAGTGAGTCATATAAATTCTACTTTGCCCCAGACCCCATCACTCCCTCTTGTCTCATAATAGCCTGTTTTTCTCATTTGGCTTTCTTGTATGGCCTATGTAATTCACTTTGCAACCCCTGAAATTAAGACAATGAGAAATATTTCTTAAGGAAGGAAACTAGATACTAATTACTAATTTAGCTCTTTCAAAAAAAAGAAAGACTTGGCCAGGCATGGTGGTTCCAGTGTTTTCAGAGGCCAAGGCCAGAGGATTGCCTGAGGCCAGGAGTTTGAGCCAGCCTGAGCAACACAGCAAGACCCCATCTATACAAAAAATAAAAAAATTAGCTAGGCACAGTGGTGTGTGCCTGTAGTTGTGGCTACTAGGGAGGCTTCGGTGGGAGGATCTCTTGAGCCCAGGAATTCAAGGCTATAGTGAGCTATGATCCAGCCACTGCACTCCAGCTTGGGTGACTGACACCCTGTCTCTCAAAAAAAAAAATAAAATAAAATAGAGAAAGAAACATTCCAACAATTATTCCTAAAATATCTGTTTAAGTGTTCCTTTTTACTAATTATATAAACCAAATGTGATCTCTTCTTATACTGTCAATGTCTGGGCTCTAGTCAAACAAATGGAATATGGATCTTAAAATATTTTCTTTTCTGATAGGCTACTTATAAACTAACGTTTGGGAAAATTTTTACTTACAAGTTTAGCAATATTATGGAGAAACAAAACACTGATATATTTCTTCCATATAAATGATCATAACTTAATTTTAGAGTACTATTTGTCTATGTTCTAAAAGAAGAATTCAGATTTTTGTCTTTTCAAAGCCAAGTACATTCAAACTCTCAAGCAATAAATATTGAGCTTTCAGTGTCCAGAGGGCAACAGTCACTTTAAAATTATGTTATCTAATAGCTAACACTATAGCCAGGAACAATAAATAAGTAGTTGATTAAAATATATAATTAAAAACCCATGAGGCAATCAAGAGAAAGGGAGTAAGATCTTATATTATTTTTTTCTTATCTTTCAGTACATTCATTCAGAATGATTTATAACATTGAAATACTTTTGGTTTTAGGAAACAAAGAAACTTAAGTCAAAGTTCTACTAAGCCTCAAAAGTCAGCAATTTAAAAAGTTAACAATCACTATAAAGTTAAAAAGGTTCATTACTTAATGCTCAAATCAAGAAATGGCAGGTTTTTTCCTCCATGTGAATTAAAAAAGCTTGCTTTTACAAGGTTAACTGCCAATGAGTTAACTCAAGAAAAAAAGTAATCCAATAGCCCAGGAATCATTTCACTTACTAACTTTGAGGACGTCTAGTGCGGGGAAAAAAACAAAACCAAAAATTGTTTATGCCAGACTAGCTCTATGCTTTGCCTGTGCCACATAATCACAATATTCTCTCTTCAGATTAAAACCTCATTCCAGTATTTATTATCTTACAGAATTCAGGTAAGACTGTCGTATCCAATATACGTAAAAGCAATTCTTTAAAAAGGCACTGATTTAAGATTAAAGTTGCCCCTAAAAACAAGTGAACAAAATAAATCCATCAATTGCAAATGAGGCACATGTTAAGGTTGTACCAAACATTTGATAAATTATTAATGATTAGAATTTATTTTTATGAATAAAAATTGGTTTTAAATGGATTTTATTTAAAAGTGAGTAGATGACTGTTTTAGGTTCCATAAGAAACCATGGCCATAAAATTGTAAGTTCTAGTGCAGTACGAAGTATAAAAATAAGACATAAATTTCTTTTCTACCCAAAATAAATGAATAGATATGAGACCGTAAACAAAGTCTTAAATTTATCTAATGGTTTTTATGAAAATTAAAATTGCTTCATCTCTTATAATAAGCAATTTTTCACAACTGTGTTTTTGAAGTTACCTGTGTGGCTAGTCCTTTACACCTTGGAGTAAAATGGCATATGCCAGGAAATGTCTCCAATTAGAATAACGTGCCTTTATGACTTTGGTATGGGGCTTATATTTGCTATCAGGGTTTGCTTTCTCTGTTCACGGCATTTTCATACCTATAGCATCTCTCTCCTGGTTGAGAGCTAGAAGCTGTTGCATCTCTCAAGGGTTTTAGAGTGGTAGAGTGTTGTAAGGATGGGAGGCTGAGGGTCCGCTAGATTGTGCTGAGGAGCCTTCTTCCTTTCATTTAGTCAAGCATGTAAAAAGTAACTATGCATCCAGTAAAATGCCAGAGCAGAGAAGGGGCTTAATGATATAGAAGAGGCACATATATATGATCATAATTTTAAGAAACTCCCAATTTTAGTTAGAAAGAGTATATACTACCTTGTATTATAGGCAGTTGTGTATCTATCTACACTACTAGATTGTAAATTTTCTGACTTCAAGCACTATGTCTTCAAATTAAGTTCAAACATTTTTTGATGGTTACCGTGAGTCAGAGATTGTGCAAAAGCACTGTGGATGAAAATGAGAACGCATGGTACCTTCTATTTTTGCTGCTCTGACTCTGGCAGGGGGTGTAGAAAGGTAAAATAAGCCAATATAACACAATGTGATAAGTGTTGTAAAATATATAAAAGAATACATGAGCAAATGAGGGAATGAATGGTTTTGCTAGAGATGGAGCAGCAGTTATAATATTAGGGAACGCTTCAAAATGTAGATAGTAGACAGCCCTAGAGCTGGAAAGCAAGTAGCATAAGCATGAGACTGGCAAAGGCAGGCTGGGATTAGGAGAGGCCTTTGTAATGATACACTAAAGAGTCAGAACTTGGGCCAGGGCGCGGTGGCTCACGCCTGTAATCCTAGCTCTCTGGGAGGCCGAGGTGGGCGGATTGTTTGAGCTCAGGAGTTCGAGACCAGCCTGAGCAAGAGCGAGACTCTGTCTCTACTAAAAATAGAAAGAAATTAATCGGACAACTAAAAATATATAGAAAAAATTAGCCGGGCATGGTGGCACATGCCTGTAGTCCCAGCTACTTAGGAGGCTGAGGCAGTAGGATCGCTTGAGCCCAGGAGTTTGAGGTTGCTGTGAGCTAGGATGATGCCACGGCACTCTAGCCCAGGCAACACAGTGAGACTCCGTCTCAAAAAAAAAAAAAAAAAAAGAGTCAGAACTTGATATTATGGGTAAGTATGAGGTTTGAGAAAGCTAAAGAGGAATTAGATCAGATTTGTGTTTTTTAAAAGTTCTCGGCCAAGAACAAGTTTGATGCATTGGGAGGGACAAGGGAGCTCTTATAATAGTCCACAAGGAGGAGAATGAATGCCTGAATTAGTCTTGCTACTAAGGATAGAAAGATCACCCTCTTCCCTCTGAAGAGGAGGGTGGGGCGGGGGGAGAGGGGAGGGGACAAGAGGACAGGGAAAGAGAAGGTAGGGGGAAAGATAGAGAGAAGGTTGGGGGAGGGAAGAAGAAAGAAAGAGAGAGAGGCAGAGAGAAGAGTTAATGCTGAGAGTTTTTTTGTTGTTGTTGTTATTTAAGTATTATTCATGTCTGTACCCTCAAAATTATAACACAGGTAAATATTCAGTAAGTTCTGTGAGGTTTGGGATATACCTATTTTACTCACAATTTTATCACTAAGGACTGACATTTAGTTTAGACACTCTTTTATGTGAATGAAAATGACATCTGTGTGAAAGAATTGGGCAGAGGGTTTTCTTCAGTTTCACATTAATTGAATTTGAGGGTCAACATTAATGATAATTAATAGAAATAAAAATAGGAGTCAGAGAAAAGGGAGAAAAAATAAGAATAGCTGAGGATGTTTTTAAGACACAGGTGGTTGTGGCACAATGACTTGCTGGCATTTACCTTTTCCCTTTCTCTCCCAAATACGTTAATCTGAAAATGAATGATTATGCACTCAGAAATGGCATAAATTCTAAAGAAGAACAGACTTTCTACCACTGTATTGGGATGGAAGGCAAATATAATTTATTTTTTTAATAAGATAATACTTCCTTTTTGCTGAGTTATTAACTTTCTTAGCTAGCAACTCTACTTTCCAAGGAAGGTATACAGAAAGTATCAAAATTGTCAAAATAAATGCCAATAAAATATGATGCACTTTACACGAAGCCTCTCAGAGACCCACATAACTTGTACACAATTCTGTGAGTGGGTTGGGATAGCTTCTAA